TGGAGACTTCATTTCAGAATAACATAACATTCGAGGATAACCAACTTCTTTGAAGTTCACAAATTGTTTCTCTTGGAAAATAGGAAGTACTTCCATAATCCAGACACAAAACGCAAAAGGAAAGCCAACTAAAGTGTAGCTATCAATATCTTTTTCTTTCTCTTTCTCCTTCTGAACATCATTCTCATTTGATTTCAAGCAACTCTTCAATGATTTTAATAGCGTCTCATAAGCAAGAGAGCCCCAGTTGAAGGAAGCGCAAAGTGCATCATCGTCAACAATTTTCATTATTTGCTCCGACATATTCCTATTTTTCCTCTTGCCCATCAAAATCGACTCAACAAAATAGAGTGTTGCCAACTTCAAAGCATCACCATCACTGCCAGCAAATGATGAAGTTGTACCATGTGGGTGACTAGAAATAAAACTATACAAATCAGCCAACTCAATTTTGTCCTTTCCAGGGAAATAGACTCTTAAAAGCCTATTCTCTTTCTCATTTAAACCTTTCATGTCAAGCGACGAATAAGACTTCAAACCAGTAATAATATGGAATGCATCACGAGTAAACTTAATATCGCGGTCAAATACCTTGAAGGTCATCGAATCAGGTTCATTACTAACAATTTCAGAAAACAATAAACAGTGCTTTCTGAAATCCCGAGAACTTCACACTTTGTAATCTGAAGAAGTTGCCAAAAATACTTTCCCTCAATTTCTTCCATTGGCTATTCGACAGAAAACTTTTAATTGTTTCCTTATATTGAAAATCTCCTTTCCAATATACCAAAAAATTACGCCAATCGTCAAAATCAAAAAAATGATCGCCTTCCATTATAACACTAGAAAAGAAGGAAAAACAAACAAAGATTAGGACTTAACTTAAAATTTCAAGTTTAAAAGTTAAGCAAATACAATCCTTAACTTTAAATTTTAAGTGCAAACGTTAAAGAAATACAGTCCTTAACTTATACTTTCAACTTCCAAAGTTAAGGACACTTAGTCCTTAACTTCAAGTTTCATGTGCAAAAGTTAAGGACAATAAGTCCTTAACTTTAAATTGTAAATGCAAAGGTTAAGGAAATACAGTCCTTAACTTATACTTTCAACATCCAAAGTTAAGGACACTTTGTCCTTAACTTCAAGTTTCATGTGCAAAAGTTAAGGACAATCAGTCCTTAACTTTGAATTCCAACTACAAAATTTAATGTCGTTTCTTCTTTACATTTAATGAACACAGTTAACTGAAAATTCATAATCAGTAAGCTTATGAATTTCTACGACTATTTTTATGAAATATACCTACATAATCAAATATATTGAATCAACCACAAACACATTTCAAATTTCACACACTAAAAATTTATCAAAAACAGAATCACACAAAATATACTACACTGAATCAACATATAATGCTAATTTTTGAAATTTCACACATACTTCACACGGCATTGAACCAACTTACAAATAAAGAAAAACGAAGATAACGGAGAAGATGACGGACAGAAGATGACGGAGAAGATGAAGATGAAGATGACGGAAGATGAAGGAGCAAAAGTTTAATTGAGATTGCAGTTTGCATACGAGGAAGATGAAGAAACGCAGAACTCTGAACGAATGAAATAAGGGTTTTCGTTGATTTTGGGATTATACAAGAAATAGAGAAAGGGTAATTGTGTCTTTTCCCCCTTAGTAGTGGCTATTTTTGATAAGCATTTTAAATAGTGGATAAAAATTAAATACACCCTTATTTAGTGGCTACTACACGCCATTTTCACCTCCATATTCCTTCCCTCGAATTTAAAAGTAAAAAAGGAAAAAAAGAAGAAGGAAATTATAATAATTCTATGGTGAAAGTAAAAACCCCTTATCCCCAGCAGCAGAACATCAGAAAGGATGATGAGCCTCTCCATAGCCTCGCCTTCTGGTGCTACCTTCACTCCGAAAATTAACCTCTCAAAGTCCTCCTTCCATAGCATTCGAATTGCTCAAGCCTCTCCGGCGCGTGCACCAAGCGCGTCCACAATCAGGACCACTCACTCTTGTTCATCTTTGGTGGTGAAAATGGCAAAGAGAGAAGAGGAATTGAAGGAAATTAGAACTAAAACTACTGAAGAGCTTCTGGAAGAGATTGTAGACCTCAAAGGAGAGCTCTTCATGCTTCGTCTTCAGAGGTCGGCGAGAAATGAGTTTAAGTCCAGCGAGTTTCTTCGAATGCGCAAAAGGGTACTCTCCATGTTTCTCTAATATTGCTATATATTTAATTTTTATTTCCGCCTTTTGTGTACTACTTATTATTAGGTGTATATCTGAGTGAAACCTGAATCAAATTTTAAATAAAGCAGTTCAAAGATTTGGACATACATTTGCTTTGTGTCTTACAGCAAGTACTGAAAATAGCTGGGGGACATAATATTTGCCTATGATTAAGCAAAGACGAGTAAGTGTCACTGGTAAAAGTCTACTGCAAAAATAGGGAATAGTTCTTGGATATGGATGTCTATGCTGGTGCCTAATCAATGCCGTAACTTATTCTGTCTATAATTCACTATAATGATTTAGCTCAAAATTCTTTGGTCTACATTTGCCCACAGGGATTTGGTCTAATGGTAAGAGCACAACATGTGCGGTGTGGGTTAGGGGCGTGTTACAGTTTCGGACCCTTGCTATAAACAAAAACCCGGTATTTAAGTGGAGAAGGGTAAAAGTTTCGAACCGGTATTTAAGTGGAGAAGGGTAAAGGTCTCGGTTATAAAAAAGTGTTCTTTGGCTGACATTTACAAGATTTGGAATCTTAAGGTTACGAGCATCTTAGACAATTAATTCGGTGAAGTAGAGCTTCAGAAGCTGCTTGTGTTTGGTCAAGACATAGTGCTAAAAATTTCTGACTGATAGTTGCATTGTGGCATTAGACTACCTCCTAGGGGAAACAATTACTCATCTGTTTGTGTTTGCTTAAGCTATTTTAAGAAACTTAGTAGGCTGTAGATGTTCCTGTGAATTCAACAATGTTATGAAACCGCTGCATCTTGTTGTGAGTCTTAATTTTATTTTATTTTTTGGTATGTAGTTGTGAGCCTAACTTAAAATGAAAGTAAAATTGAATTGCATCTATTTACTCAATACAAATGAATTCATATTTGTGTGAGACAACATCAGAATTTTCTATCTCAATAGATTCATTCAGCCAGACCAGATGGCCACAATCAGTAGCTTAACCAGCTTAAGGGGGTTTCAATGTTGTTCAAAAATTTGTCTTAAATGTTTGTACCAATAGGTATTATGCGTTATTTCCTATTCTTTTTTTGACATTACTCATGAATGTATAATCATGTTCATTTTCCATTTCCTGTACTTTAGTAATTGCAGGTTACTTTTCTTCATAGATTTACTTTTTGGTCTGATTTTCTTCACTTTGATGTGGGTTTACACAATTTTTTAGATTGCTAGGATGGTTACGGTTAAACGGGAGAGAGAGCTCGAAGAAGGGATTAACAAGAGGATATCCAGGAAGCTTGACCGGAAATGGAAGAAAAGCATTGTCCCTAGACCACCCCCCTCTTTGAAGAAGCTACAAGAGGAGGAGGCAGCAGCAGAAGCTAAGGAATCTGCCTGATTTTAAGACACTTAAATCAGCAGGCAAATGTTATGTTTTCTTTTCTGGATTCTCCTCTTGCTTCCCTGTACGTATAGTCTATAACTGCTCCTGAGTTTTTGTATAAAACCAAGTTAAGTTGCGATCATTCTTATTATGTTCTCAATCACCGAGGATGGTGTCCTTTTTCTTCATGCACCTGAATGGTGAAATCTGTTTTTGTTTCTTCCAAGTTCTCTTAATTTTATTTTTCTGAAACTCCAATTATGGCTGCCACGAAATATCAGCTAGAAGATTCCTGTAATCTGAACTATTTCACCCTCTGGGGAAGAACAAGTAGCAAATTACAAGATTGGGCTGAAGAAACAAGTAGCAAATTACATGATTGGGCTGAAGAAAACCTCACTTAACTATAAGCAAAGATAGTCTGGTGAAAAGTCTGTCAAAGTTGATTTCAAATAGGGAATAAATGGCAAAGTTGGCTTAAACTTTAGAATTAGAAATATGAAGTAGATTCTAGACCTTATGCTGCTATAGGAATTTGGGCAATAGTTAAAAACTGTTTCTTTGTGGAACTGTTATTCGCTTATGGGAAGGAAATAGTGGTACATCCCATTATTTAGTTTCCTTGATACATTCGTGCTCAAGTATTGATCAATATTTCTGAAACTGTGTAGTTTCTTTTTCTCATTTATTGCTTTAATTATGCAGATAAGATGCTCCATACATAGCTTCTATAGCCTTCTTCATTCCGTTTTAGTTGGATACAGGGTTTTTTCTCCTGGATAGAATGCAACCTGGATATGAATCAAACATTTCAACAGTTAATGCTCCATCAACTGCCCTCCTCTTTCACTCTCTGTTTCGTGCTTCTTCATAACTAAGTTGGCTTAACACTAGTACTGCAATTGCTTTTGTTTAATGCAGATGTCCTTGCGTTATTGAAATATGGAAAGCGTAATACTATGCAGATTGTTATGTTGTTTGCTCGGATCGTGGTAACCTGTCCATGGAATATTATCATTTAAAGAAGGTTACCTTTCTATAAAGTCAAATGTCTGACCACAAACCACTAGCACCTGACTATTGGCTCTGAGATGATGTTGGGTTAGGACCATCCATCTTAACAAAGAGGAAAATGGTGGTGGATCTTTCAAATTTGCCTCATTCTTTTCTCAATAATCACCTTCATTCTGAATAATGGATGAGAAATCTCAATGTTATAGTAGAATCAATAACATTTAACCAGTCCTAAAAGGACTTATGTGCGACATTGCATAGTTCAAGTAAATGGCTCTGATTGAGACAAACTGATTATAGAATACAACACAAGCATCAAGATACAAAAGCATGTATCTACTTCTCGAAAAAAAAAGGCACCAAAGTGTGATCCATTCCGGAGTTTTATGTTTAACCCGAACTCTGACCTGTTTTACTCAGACAAGTAAAGTGAAAGAAAAAAGATGTCATTCTAGTATTGTGTGTCGGACGAGTCACCAAAAATGCCTCCCAGGATTGAAGATCCCTCATTTCCATCACCATTATTACCACCGCCTATGATTCCCTGCATGAAAGTCTGACCAACTTGCTGAGCAGCACCTTCTACAAGTCCTTGAATTGCAGCATTCATCAAACCATTCCCGAAACCGTTGTTTGCCCCTGGAGGCTGCATATACTGGTTTGGCCTTACTTGTCCTTGCATTATAGGAGGCTGCTGGAACTGTTGCTGGGGAATTGCACTTGTACTAGCACTATGAAACAACTGGTTTGGCCTCACTTGGCCTACACCCAAAGGAGCCTGCATGTATTGATTTGGCCTTGCTTGTGTACCCATAGTTGGCTGCTGGAATTGGTTAGTGGCTCCCGGGAATGAGTGGTGGTGCTGGAGGGCAGTCGGCTGTGAAGCGGGTGCTTGAATTGCCTGTCTAGGGGCAGCAGTTGAACAATCTAAATGAACATCAAACTCACAAGCGGGGCATCTATAAAGCCACTGCTTTGTTCCAATCTTGCGGCATACATCACAAGAGAAGCCTTTGGCACCAGTATAAGGATTTTTGAAGGTGAGTTCCAGCAAGCATTGGTGCAATTGGTGTGTGATTTTGAGTGGTCTAGTTGCACAGATTACATGAAGATCAAACTCACAGCTACCACAGTGGTAGCTGAAGCCGTCTCCACGGTGGTTGCAGGCATCACAGTTGAATCGGCCACCAGGGTACTTGGATGTGGGGAGGAGGTTGAGAGGGTGGTTGGGGTGGGAGGGGTGAGTAATCAGCTGTGGGAATTTAGCACAGCTCAAATGAAGAGTGAAGTTGCAAGGCTTACATATGTACATTTGGCCTAATGGTGGGAGTCTGCATCCTGAACAAGGGCTTAGATCTTGGAGTTGGATGCATAGCTCTAATTCATGTGGATGACTGAAGTGCCTGAGGCTTGGAGTTGGATCATTGTTCAATTTCACCCTCCCCATCTTCTTGCGCTTTCTTCTTCTTTTTTCCTATTCTCCCTCATATTATTCTGATTTGGGAGTTTTAAATATTATAAAATGAAGTTATGAGGGGATGAACTGTAGCTAAAGACAGAGTGGCTGCTAGTTGACTTTAAAATTTTTTGGATCAAGTCAACGTCCAACACGGTATTTGTCACTGATTAGGATCTGTGGTTATGCAAACAGCGTTGATTGATTCTTCTTTGACTAATTCTTTTAGGCGTTTACTTCAAATTTTCTGTTGGTGTAGGGAATGGTTGGTGGTTCTCTAGTTTCTTAATTAAGAATACGATACATTAAAAGCATGTTTATCCATGTTTTCAGAAAATGTTATTAGGAGGAAAGAAAAATAATTTGATGGGTTTATGAAAAGGGGATAACGAGGATGTGTTGGCCAATTATATTGACATTCTTATCTGGAATTTTTTTGACTTCAGCTGCAATAAATTAGATGTTTCTCTTTCAAATATACTACCACATAACATTAAAACTAAATTGAGTTTGGACCCAGAAACCACCAACAATGATGTCGAAGTGAGCTGAGGAGCAACTTCATCACAACTTGCTGGAATGTTGAAGCTCAATAGTTTACTAGGGTGAAATTCAAAAATAGTCAGATTTACAACTGGTTGTTCAAAAATAGCTCAGTTTCAAAAGTAACCGAAATTTAGTCACTTTTCATGTAAAGATAAATCTGAGAGAAAATACTATTCAAAACCCGGAAAATACGCCAGTATATTATGCTGGAGTTCTAGCATAAGTATACTTGAACTCCAACATATTATACTGGAGTTTCAGGATAAGTATGATGGAACTCCAGCATAATATGATGGAGTTCCAACATAAGTACACTAGAACTCCAGCATAATATACTGGAGTTCAAGCAAGTATACCGGTCCAGCATAATATACTGGAGTTTGGAGCACCAGTGCTCCAGTCTCCAGTATATTATACTGGAACCAGCAAAGTATACCGGTCCAGTATAATATGCTGAAGTTCATACACAGGTGCACCGAACTCCAGTATATTATGCTGGACGGATCTCTGTTGCAGCAGAATAGTGACTATTTTTCATTGACTTGGTAAATACAGACTATTTTTGAATGACCAATCCGAAAACTGGCTATACCGTGCTATTTTTACGTATACTAGGATACAACTTCTGTAACTGACTTGACCTTTTCTACATTCATTCAATATTGAAAAATGGATTTCTTGGAAAAGTATTGGAAACTCAAAGTAAAAAAGAAATAAAAAGGAACATTGGTGGGTAGAATTACATGTACCTATATTAGTGGGATATCACAGGTATATAATAGAATAGTCGAGGTGCACATGATTTATCCAAAAAAGGAAACGGAAAATTGCATCCAAGGGTATGGTCTAGCGACTAATAAAGCAAGTGAAAATCATGAGAGATACTCCTCTAAGTTGCTTTTACTTAGGGGTGTTCATAAAAACCTGAAAACCGAACCAAAATGAAAACTGAATCAAACCAATCAAAAAAACTGATACTTTTTTTTATTTGATTTGGTTTTGAATTTAAAAAATCGATCAAATTTGGTTTGATTATGGTTTTAATGAAAAAGTAACCGGAAAACCTGAACCAAACCAACTACAGAAGTAGTTATTTAAAATTTATTATTACACTGTATATATTTTTTATACAAAGTTTCTAAATTTCTATGGTACATGTTAATCGTTTGTATTTTTAGTCTAGTTCTGTGCTATTATAACAATAATCTAGTTCTTTGCTTTTACATTCTAGTTTGATTGGTAGTTTTCTTTTACTAAGTACAAGAGTCTATTTTATGTTAAAAATAATCTATTTTTAATTGAGTCCTTAAATTTTTCATCACTATTTGATTCAATTAGCACCAATATATCTTGGTAAATGATATATTTTTCAAAGAGCAATTGGTCTGATAGTATTATGTTGAAAATGTAGTTGCCAGAATATGTGTTTAATAGTGCATGTATGTCTCATATTAAGGAAAAATCAATAAATAACCGGAAAAATAAAAAAATTGACAAAAAACCCGCATAAACCGAATCGATAAAAAACTGACTTAATTGGTTTGGTTTGGTTTAGTTTCAATATTTGAAAAATCGACTTATTTGATTTGGTTTCTTTTTACGAAAAAACCGATCCAAATTGAATCATGAACACCCCATACTTTTACAGCTTGTTTGGATGGTTGTTACATATCGTTTCAAAATGTATTGTATTGTATTGTACTGTATCGTTTGATTAATACAATGTTTGGATAGATTATGTCGTTTGCCGTCGTTTTATGATATCACACACTAGCAATATGAAGAATAAACTTGCAATATTATAAAAAAATTATGATACGGTATATAAAAAGGTAGGGTAAATGATAAAATAAAAGTATTTAATAATAATGAAGGGTGAGATTGAGAGAAAAAGACAAGGTAACAACGCGACCACACCAACTCGGTTGTTACATAAAGTGGCACATTTCGTCGTTACGTAACGACGGATTTAACGATACAATACAACAACAACAACAACAACAACAACGACCCAGTATAATCCCACAAGTGGGGTCTGGGGAGGATAATATGTACGCAGACCTTACCCCTACCCCGAAAGATAGAGAGGCTGTTTCCAGGAGACCCTCGGCTCAAAAAAGCAATAGGAGCGATATATTAGTACCATAAGAAATGCATAATAAAATAACATCAATATAAGAGATATTAAATACAGAATACGAAA